ACTGTGGCACGAACCCAACGTCCTTTATCCTTGAACTTTGATGAATCCTGAGTCCAAACAAAAACCTTCTCTCCTTGGAAATAGGGACCGTCACTTGGCATAGTCCTTCTTGCAAGATCTGCTCGAAGGTCCTGAGCTTGTCGTGCTTCTTGATGAGCTCTCAAAGCCACACGTTGTAGTTCCAGATTTGTACGATCTTGTGCGGCTGCATTAGCTGACAATTGCTCAGGGCTTGCGGTCTCAAGGTCAAAAAGATCTGGTGGACGTCTTCCAGTTGCTATCTCTATTGGTGAATATCCACTGATAGTCAACTGACAATTTCTTGCCCAAACTACCTTCTTGACCACTTCTCTGACCGTAACACCACGAAAACGTGGGTCATCCAGATCTACTTTCATAACATGCCACATACGTTTGAACAAACGTACAGCTGTCTCTGCTCGGTTCGGCCAAGGAGTTCTTGGTCCACAAGGACATTGTTGTATACCATGGAACCTGTAGTATTCAACAAAAGCATCTGTGAAAAAGGCTTCGTCTCCTACGATGGCCTTCGGAACACAGTTGTTCTCATCAGACCATTGCCTCAATGCTTGGATGGTGGTTTGATCTATGAGGTCTTTCTGTGCCGTAGCCCAGAGAAGATTTGTGGCACCATCAAGAACAAGTAGAATGATATACTTGTTCTTGTGAAGTTCAACCTCACAATGATCAGCAAAAACAACATCACCAAAACATGAAGCTCTAATACCGGAGACTCTGGCTCGTGGCGGAGGTGCCACTGAAGTATTACAAACACGGCAGTTCCTGACAACTGATTCATACTTCTTTAAAACAGAGTCAGGAAGCTTCAACATAGAAACACGCCTACGAAACTGAGTAGGACTCATATGGTAGTGCTTCACATGAAGCTTGTAAAGCTCTACCTTGTCCTCCAGTCTCTGCAACATCTTCCTATATGCCGGTGTCATTGCAACAACTTCACTACCAGGTAATGGGATTGAAATCCGCCTAGGCTCAAGAGCGCCATCACCTGGTTGAAGTGGTTCATGTTTATCACTTGATGGTCCTTTTGATGCTTTAGGAATTTCTACAAGTTCACCTTCTGGCCTCTCAGGTGGTTCTGAGGGAGTATACTCCTCAAGATCATCACCCTTTAAATCATGTGGAGGCTCAGATGGTTTCAACTTGTGTCCTTTCCAAAATGGATCATAACCCTTGGGAGCCTGGTTCCCTGTCCTTTGCAATGGGAACCTTCTCTGAGGAGGAGCGCACCACTGCATCGGGATCCCCAATGCCACGGTGCTCAATGCCAGCCTTCCTGATCTTAAGATCTGGAATTTTGGCATCTGGCCTAAACTTAAAAATTGTTCTACCACGCCATTCATAGCCAATTTGTAGGTCCTTCCATTTTGCCTTGCGCCAATCATCTAGCTTCTTGATTTCTTCTCCTCCTTCTTTCTTCTTGATGATTGTCAGTCGCAAGTCTTCCAGCAAGTCAGTGTCTACAGGACAGGACTTAGTTGCTGGGAAAAGAATCTTTCTGTAATCCTTGTGGCGACGTATCAGTTCTCTCTTATGAACATCTACTTCCCAGTAGTCAACCACAGGATATGCATGCTCAGCTTCATCTTCATCACTATTGTGATCAACAGAAATATGGCCATATTCATAGTGAATGAAGTGAGAGTAAAAACTCTTCTCACGCCGAGCCTGCAAACGCACGTCAGACAAATACCATGCAATATCTTGGAAGTCCAAAACAAGATGAGTACTGGCTGCAACCTTCAACTCCAAATGTTTGATACCAAAAGGCACCGATGTCAGATAAGCATGTTGAGGTGTCAGCCTTAGTTCAAATCCTAAGTTTCTCATCTGTGGCAAGCTCATAAGCAAAGGGACTTCTCCTTCTTCCACTATGTCGAACTCTGTATTGTGGATCGCCCATGCGCGATCATACATGTAAATCACCAGTTTCTGAGAGCAAGAAGCCTTCTGAGAATTGGCAAAGTAAAACTTGCTCTTGGTAGCCTCAAAAGAGTACCATAGTCCACAATTTGGGTGACTGTCGACATAGTTACAAAAATAATCGACTGCACGCCTTGATCCCATAGCTCTAGTGCATCCAATGTACAGGATTGCAATAGTTGGCGGGAAGCGATTCTCAGTCAAAAATGAAATAGCCTGCGTCTCTTTCACTTCTTCCTCAGCGCTCATAAGCGCAAAGCCATCAGGAGCACTTGTGAGCATCTCCTTTGACAAAGAGTACCTCACAGGGGCACTCATGCCATCGAAGATCGTCTCACCATTGTTGACATTACAGTCAGCTTCATCTTGACATGAGGTCATCATGCCTGACAGCAAGTTCACCTCACTGTCATGGACTTCAGCTTCTGTTGTCACACAATGAGCAAAGAAACCTTGGTGGCTTCCTGATGCTTGTGAAGATCTTGAAGGTGCAGGCAAAGAGCGTGGCTGTTGTTGATTTGCATAGTTTGCATCTTGTTTGCCATCTCCTTTATCTTTTCCTTTTCCTTTCTTGCCTTTTCTCTTGCCTTTTCCTTTTCCTTTGTGGGAAAACCATGCGTCTTCAAGCTGTTGCCAAAAGTCATAGGCATCTTCATGTTCTCCTTGAAGATAGTCATTCATATCTTCGGCAAGAATGGCATCATATGCTACTTGGTTTGACTCCCAAGTATCCTCATAAGGATTCTCCTCAAAATACTCATCTGGATAAGTTGGCGATTGCTCATCAGCAAAATGGCCTTTACCTCGTCTCTTTCCTCCTTTTCCTTTTCCACGAGGTCTGAAAAATCTGCGGCCTGATCTTCCTTTGCCTTTTCCTTTTCTTCTTCCTTTTCCTTTGCCTTTTCTGGCTCTTCTTCCTTGGAATCTCCTCTGGAGCCAAGAGAAATTCTGTTCATCATATACCCAAAAGACATCGTCCAGGGCATCAAGAAATCCTTCTGTTCCATCTTCTTCATCTTCGGCCCAAAAGCCATGTGTACCGTCGAGTTCTCCTTCTTCAAACACGAGGAATGATCTTCTACCTCCAGCACCTGTCGGCTGCATCAAAGGATTGTCAACTGAAGTCTTTGTCGTGCAGAACATCTCAATGAAAACTGTCCTCAACTCTGTTGCGGTGTATTGCTGCAGGACCCTACCACGATGAGTCATCAAAGAGGTCAAAGTGTTCCTCTGGTCCTGAGACAAATCTGCAAGTGACAGCATGAGTAAAGCAATAAGATTTTCTCCCAAAGGAAAATCGTTCTGATGAAAATTTCTCAGATTGCCATTGATATTCTGCATGATTTCCTGAATTCTTTCCGCTGTTGGAGCTACTCCATTCATCACTGCATCAGCTTGCATCTGAGCTTGTACCTGAGGATGTGTTTGTGTGACTGGCTCCAACATGTCCATCCAACTGCTCATAAGCCTTTGGAGTAAAATCTGAAATCTTGTCATCCATTTCATCATGTCAGCTGATCCGCGATTGAAGCGCACGAATTGCATAAACCTATACAGGAATACATTGGTTGCTCCTTTCACAAAATATGGTCGCAGTACTCGTTTGAAATAATCTACTCCAGCTCCTGGTGGATCATTCGCCTTCAATGCATCTCTGTCTAAAACACGTTTGTATACAGCTGCTTCTCCTTCTAATCTGTTCCTCAATGCTGGTCCTCTCTTCTCATCCTCCAGCTCGGTGATATCGCACCAATCGTCTATGGCATCCTCATAGGAAAACCATGAAGTCTTTCCATCATAAGATGGGGGCACCTTTGTAGTGACCTGTGTTGTCATTGCTATAGCTGCTGGTTCTCTTCTCACACGCCTATTCACATAGGCTGCTGGCTCATAAGCCACATCCGCATCAGGCTCTTCCCAGTCGTCAATCCAATCCATGGCCGTTTGCCTAAAAGCAAGTCTATGCCTAGGAAAGGAGCTCACCTGGGTCTTCCAGGATCACTGCTCCGCTATCACTGGAAGAGTGACTAGGGCGTACACGGTTGAGGTGCAGACCGCTAGTGTCTTTTTCTACGCAGAGTCTTATCCTCTTGAGCCTTATGGCAGTCAAGCATGGACACACTAGATAGGCCACTGGAGTGGAACCTGTACAAGTAGGCCTCTACATTTCAGGGTGGGGGGGGGTGGGGGGGGGTTGAATTGAGTGATCAATTATTAGACCCGGACGTCCCAACACTTGCTTCGCAAGACAAACTCAAGGTATCCCCTAAAGGGCTACCTTTCGTAAACTGTAACACAGTCTTTCATGGATTCTTGACCCCCGAACGCCGTCCGTCCTCATCGATTTTCCCGTCACTCGCGTCCTCTGCACTATCTTTAATTGCATCCTTAGGCATCGGGGATGATGAAGTCCCCTTCTTGCTCCTCCTCCTCATCTTCCACCGACTCTTTCTTGGGCCAATTCGCCGGATCCCAATTTTCCAGAGCCTTGCCACAGGCCGCATTCACATTCCCCAGCACCTGGGCGACAAAAGAATTGATGGGGCCTTGGAATGACCGAAAGGTGTCGAGCCGGGTGCAGTTTCAAGAGAGTGTAGTTACCAGCCTTGTTCACGCGCATCTGACGCAATGTGAAATGTTTTTGCAGATGCAAGGCTATTGTGAGCACATAATACGCCGACCCCGGCAGGGGAGCGCGCCACCGGGCTATGGATGTATAATATTTGCTGGAAATGGTTCGACAGGTTTGTCAAGTTCCGGGCCACGGCTCGCCGAGGCTAAGGAAGATCTTGCACTTTCTGGTGTTCCTCATGCTAATTCGATCTTGTCCTTGATCTACCATCCCCTCAAAACGACCTCTGCCTCCCTGTCCATGGCACCAAGCCCCCCCCCTGAACTCCACTCTTCCAGGCCGCCGCTGCACCACTGAAGACCCCCGTGGGCATCGCCGCGATCGCCTGGGCGCAGGCGGCCGTCTGCGACGCCTCGCCCACGATGGCGCGGCAGGTGATGCCAGAGGTCGCGCCGAAGCGCACGGAGGCACCCAGCAGGCCCAGGATGCCCAGGATGTCCAGGGCGCAGACCTGGGCAGCGATCGCCAACAAGGCGGACGCGGTTGGACCGGTGTTCGCCCTTGGTTCTTCCCGGGCGGGAGGAGATCTCTTTTGGGGTGGCCCGGACTTGAGAGGGAGGAGATCCTAAATGGTTTCCACTCACAAAGCTGGCATTACACTTAACAGTCCTCCAATCGACACATGGATCCGTTCTTCGGGATCTGCCGCCGGGGTCATTTCTGCCTGGAGAAGCGACGACATGGTAAAACCTCACACAAACAAAGCACAATCCTGTTGAAACTGTTTGAAACAAGACTGGAAGCGGGCATGCTAGCAAGGAATACGTACCAAGTTCACATTCCAGGTTCATGTCATGGTTTGTAGTTCAGCCTCAAACAAGAACAAATGAATTCGATTTAAAAAAAGATTGAATGGGGACACCCAAAGTGAACTAGACCAAAATTTATTGGCTGGGAGGTCTCCTCAATCAAATCCAGCCCTATGGAGATCGATGAGATGCAAGAATCACCATCTTGAAAGGCCATTGAATGCATACAGAAACCCCTTCTCACCACCGCTCCCTCCCAACCCCGCTCAATTGTTCAGTGGCCCCGCCTTGGGTTCCAAGCCATACTTCTTGGGGCAGTGCACCACAGTGTCTGCAATCACCACAGCCAAACGCATGACCATGGTGCTCGTGAGCACAATGGAGCCAAAGCACCCAGCAATCGACCGATACACCCGATTCCTTACATCAAAAACATGAGTCAAGACCACATGTGTCACATCTAGGTTGTAGCACCGGAGACAAACACAACAAATGACTGATGTCATTATGTGTATGTGCGTGGCCTTCCATTGTGCAAAGCAGGTGTGAGAATCATAGCTACATCAATCGGATACGTTGTTTTTGCACGTTTGTACACCTGAGTGCACATACGCTTGGTTCGATGACCTTGGAGAGTGAGGTTTCGATGACCAGCGTGGCGGTCCGTGGCGGCGCATCTAGGCCGACTGCGTTGCTGATATGTTGTTCATCGACGTCTCTCAATGCCAACGTCATCGAACATCAGACTCTAGAAAGGTTTGTTTGAAAACACCGTGTTGAAAACGAAGGCCACAAGTTCTGTACAGGGCGCCATATATGCTGCAACAACCGTTTTTCGTTTGGAGTTTTCTCTGGCTTTAACACAAACGGGGTAGTGAAAAGTTTGAGATGAATAGTTTTTTGCACGCAGCCAAGAACAAACATCAACACCTTTTTTTCGCTTGAGGTATGAAGGTCTCACAAGCAAAACCCACCTTACAAGCCACCGGGTCCAAAACATGTGTTGTTTGGGGTGTGTGCGTGTGTACTCCTGTCCCAAAGGAACAGTGTACAAATTGCAGGAGGTCGCTGGGGATTCACGCAGTCAGCGACCAACGAAGACGCTGCACGTCTCCTGTGGAAACGTACCTGCCGTGGTGCACTTGGGCGCATAATAAGACGCAGCTGGTGGCTGCCCCTCGTTTTTAATCCGCTGGTAAAGCGCTAATGGGTCCATGTTGAAACCTTCTTTTAAGCTGACCCTTCACTTTTACGTTTCTGCAAGTCAAGAGCTATTCAGCAACTAACGCACGGGGATGTCGCAACTGATAGAGCTCTTGCGAGGAATGATCTAAGTGTGTCTCACAACAGGGTCCCACAGAGGTCTGTTGCGCGATCCCCGCCAAGGGTCGCTTCTTGCACATGCCCTTTCAGTTGCTTGCTCGAGATTGCCGATTCAATTCTGCAGAGCTTACTGAGAAAACCCTCCAGAGAATGACATACCACACTGCTACGTATTCATAGGACTCATGCCAGGCGGCTAAGTATTCACATGTCACGCGGCTAAGTACTCATCTTGCGGTTGCTTTCTCTTCTGCTGTTCCTCTTCGTTGTCTAGGTTCTCTTTCGTTGCTAGCGGTTTTTTAGGTTCCAGGTTAACGTTTAGTCAAGTGCTAAGTACTCACTCGTAAGTCTCACACTGAGTAATTCATGCACGGTCTCTCTTTTCCTTCTAAGATTCTCTTGTTTTCTTCAGGTTTTCGTTCCTTGCTAGAAGCTTTTTAGGTCTCAGGTTAACTTTTTGGTCAAGGGTGCGCCGGCTTCGGCTATCTGGCCAGTGCTTTTGGGCCCGTGCCTTTCTCCACACACTTATGGATATGCATACGGAACTGAAAGCGGTGCCACACGCCGGCCTAGGGTTCCATTTCCTAAGAGTACGAGTAAGAACCACGGAGCCTCGAGGTCTTCAAGAGGAAATAGGGCCAAAGTCTCAAGATCGAAGGCGACGATCAAGTCGACATGACGACGTGCGCTCTGGACTGCCAAATGTAGCTACCTGTGAGGTTCTGGGCTTAGCCTCATGCCATTCAGAAGACTCGGAAAATGGCAGGTACGTCTGGCTGATCAGGCCAGATATCCGCATGTACTGTGGCCGCTTCGTTGGACCGTCGCTCACAGCACATGGATGGCCCCCCTGCTGGAAAACAAATGCCGAAAAACGATGAGAGAACAATCCATCTGGATCCCTGTGATTACAAGGGTTACACACACACACACGCCTCCCCGAGGGGAGGCGTAAAGCTAAGGTGAGGGCCAATGTGCACGTGCGCGCGCAAAAGACAAAAGAATGAAGACATGACAGGAGGACGAGACGGGACAAAGGTGCGTGTGGTTGAAATGAGAGGGGAACCAAGTGCACAGGGACACCCGATGACGCCCACCTCATTGTAAAGACCTGGGCGACCTGAAACCTGTGTTTAAAGGTATGTTAAAGTGCACGTACACACTAAGGCCGGGACGAAGAAAAGGATGAGATGACCAGACATGAAGACAGGAGGACATGAAAGAAAAGAGGAAACAAAAGTGTGTGAAGGGGAAGGGATGAAAGGGGAACAAATGGAGGGGGCGAAAACCGATGAGACCAAACCTCATTGCAAAAACCTAGGAGACCTGCCTCGTTTCATTGTACACGCTGTGTGTGCACCCAAGGTCGCGACAGGTTCCAATGAACCTTAAACTGGCTTTGACCGCTGTGGTCACCTTGTGCCCTGCCGAAATGGCTGGCTGCTTAGACCGCTGCGGTCACGTAAAGGCATGAGCCAACTTGGAATTCCAAAGATGAGACAAACATCCCACTTCTTGTGGCGTTAGCCATCTGCTGTCCGCTCCGGACACTTACGTTTCCAAAGCAAGGGAAACAACGACAAACCCCCGTTCGACGGGTCCACGGCACTCTGCAGGCTCATCCCGGCTTGGCACGAGGCCAAACACACTTATGGATATGCATACGGAACTGAAAGCGGTGCCACACGCCGGCCTAGGGTTCCATTTCCTAAGGGTACAAGTAAGAACCACGGAGCCTCGAGGTCTTCAAGAGGAAATAGGGCCAAAGTCTCAAGATCGAAGGCGACGATCAAGTCGACATGACGACGTGCGCTCTGGACTGCCAAATGTAGCTACCTGTGAGGTTCTGGGCTTGGCCTCATGCCATTCAGAAGACTCGGAAAATGGCAGGTACGTCTGGCTGATCAGGCCAGATATCCGCATGTACTGTGGCCGCTTCGTTGGACCATCGCTCACAGCACATGGATGGTCCCCCTGCTGGAAAACAAATGCCGAAAAACGATGAGAGAACAACCCATCTGGATCCCTGTGACTACAAGGGTTAACCGTGCACATTGTATAGTTTGTCGCACATAAACCACTCTATTTTCGATCCCCTTGAAAATGTACAATTTCAAGGGGGTTGAAAAATACATGCAACAATGCTTGCAAAATGCAAGTTAAACATAGCTATACAAACAATGTATCAATGATCCAAAAAATAGAGTGGCCATAAACTTCTTTTACCCTCTCTCTGGGAGCCACTGGTGCGGGCGGCTGTCGTCGCGAAGCAACCTGAATATCAACAAGCACAAGACATGACACCTGGCAAAGGACACAGAACATCAAGAAATCTCCAGATGCCAACCTTCGGCAGTCAATCTCCGAAACAACAAACCCTGTCCCACCGGGCAGCGCGGACAAGAGAACTCAATCTTTCACATCGGGTGGCGCAAAAAAGGGAAATAAACCCTCTCACACCGGCAATGCGGAAAGGAACCCAAGAGCGATGGCCTCCAACCTAATAACAATAGCCTCCAACCCAAGAGTGATGGCCTCCAACCTACTAGCAATGGCCTCCAACCTCGGAGCGATGGCCTCCAACCTAGGAGCGCTGGCCTCCAACCTACTAGCGATGGCCTCCAACAGCAATGGCCTCCAACCTAGTAATAGCAATGGCCTCCAACCCACTAGCAATGGCCTCTAACCTAAGAGTGATGGCCTCCAACCTACTAGCAATGGCCTCCCAACCTAGGAGCGATCCTCCAACCTAGGAGCGATGGCCCCCAACCTAATAATAGCAATGGCCTCCAACCTAATAGTGGCCTCCAACCTAAGAGTGATGGCCTCCAACCTACTAGCAATGGCCTCCAACCTAGGAGCAATGGCCTCCAACCTAGGAGCGATGGCCTCCAACCTACTAGCGATGGCCTCCAACCTAGGAGCGATGGCCTCCAACCTAGGAGCGATGGCCTCCAACCTAATAGCGATGGCCTCCAACCTAATAGCGATGGCCTCCAACCTTAGTGAGAGAAAGCAACCACAAAGGCACAGCAGTCAACCACGATGCAACTGAACCAGCCCACCCTGCCAAAGACAGGACCATGTGCATGTAGGGGCCCGGTGGAAGTAGAAAGGAAAATCTATATAAGCGGTTCAAAGTCGTCCAGAGGAATTTCAATTTATGTAGATAAAGATTTAAGTGGCTTGAAGGAAAGTCTGGACTAAAAAGTTTGGAATTTGAACTCTGCGATCCAGTCATTTAGGAATGGAGAGAAGGTGAGGAAATCGGTTTATGTTCAGTACACTGTTCTCTGTTGGCCGTGTTTTTTGGCAAACCCCTGCTGGTTTCTTTCAGGTTGCTACAAATCAGCCGCACAGGATCAAAGCCCTGGTGCGAAAGAGGTGGAAAAATCAACTCCAAGGACCAAGGATCTTTTCGACCGCCGGATTGGGTGGCAGCACATTTTTGACGTTGTAGCCGTGATCGATGAGGAATTTCTGCAACCGCAGTGCTGTCTTTCGATGGGAAAGCAGACTTGATGGGAAAATTAAAATGGTACCTCTTCAATGTTCTGGCCACAAACTCAGCTCTTGAGGCATGGATTTACCCATCCCAAGATGAAAAGTTTGGTGGCCAAAAGGATGTCTCCAAATGGGGGATGCCCACACCACTGAACAGCAGAAGACACACAAGAAACATCAGTTGGCAATCAAGGTGTCCAAACTCAGAAACTATGATTTGATCCACAAACTCGATGCAAGTTCTGAGGGTCAAATTCAGCTTCCCTCACCAATTCGAAACTCGATATATCATTCCAACTTCCAACCACCCCACCCAAATTCCCGTACGTCCCGTACTCTCATCTCCTGCACATCTCGCTGGATGTCCTGCTTCGCCTTGGTAATCTTTGCCTTCTTCTGGTCAATCTTTTCCGTGATGTTGTCCCGATTCACGCAAACGTAGTCCATCTGATTGACCGATTGCGCGATCAGACTCATGGTCCCCAGGATCGACGCGATGTTGGCGGCACAGTTGGCAGGCAAGTTCAGCGAGTGGGCACATTGGGTCAGACTATCTGCCACAAGGCCGATGAAGAGCAGATCGTTCACCACGTTCAGCAAAATGAAGTTGGCACAATGCTGTTCCGCCTCCTGAGTTCGTCAAAGTCACGACTTGATCATTTGAGAATAGAAATCAGTTGGTGGCTTCCCTTCTGCCTTGATGGAAATTATATGCATCTTCGCAAGTGCAAACCAGAACTTCAGCACATCCCCCTGGGTGCATGTGGGGAAGGTACCCACCCTTCAAACTGCTTCTGAATCGAATGACATCCCCGGCCGTTCAACTTCAATCCGGCTCCTTGTCGACGACGCCTCCCCGCCGGCGAATTCGGTCGTAGTCACAGACCTCACTCGCGACAGGGATAATGAGGCCCATCAGGTTGATTCGCGCCACCATCTGACCTGAGATGTCTGGAACTGCAAAATCACACTCATCTGAAAACCACCAAGCAGACACAAGCGGGCGGGCCATGTGACACCCCCATGCATCCAACGCCCGCGTTCGATCGGATCTTGCACCAGCCTGTTCATTCCGAACCGACGAAGCTCCAAGCGACCCACCAGAAAAGACGACACGGCGAGCGCGAATGTTCTCCCAGCGACTGATGTCAATCACGCACAACACGTCCACTGCACCCTCACTCACGTGTGCCAGACCCAGCAGCGGCAGCGTGCCATCCCCGGCAACCGCCGAAGGTGGCAGCACCACTGCGCCTGAGCGACGACACACTGAGCGACACAGAAACCATCAGACCTGGCCTCACCTCACCCATCCGCAAGTCTAGCGAAGACCCATTTTTTGCGCATGCAACCTTCAGAGGACAGAGCATTTCCCTTGAGAATGTCAACAAAATCTTCCAGCGGACACGCATCCCCTTGATCTGTTTGCAGAATCCAGCGCTGGACCAATTGTCAGGTGAGTTGCGACAGAACAAGACCTATATCACCCATGAACTTATGCTTCTGCCAACAAAAGAGTGTGCTTATAGTCTAGTCTAGTGACTGACATGTCCGAGCAAGTCTTCCCCCACCCCTCGCCCCACCCCGAACGCGGTCTGGACCACACGGGCCTCCCAAGACCTGTGGCTTTGTACGGGTCAGTAGCCCAGTCAGCGCCACCAGCGCACTCAGGAGCGCAAGCACCAGAGGGACTCGGCGCCGCCAAAGCGCTTGGCCCAGCTGGCCGGCAGGGGAGCTGGGTAGCTCCTGGCGACTTTTCACTGAGAGAGAGGAGAGAAGAGAGATAGTTGGGGATTGAAGGCGGAAACAAGGAGTTGAGGCTTGAAGGGAACCGGAAGTCACGGAAGGAGAGAACTTCAAGTACCTGAACTCAGTTTCTCCACTTCCGTCCGGACTTTGCAAGATCACTCCTACCAGGTGGGAGTCATTCAGAGAGTCGAGATGATCCTCCCAAACTTCCAGTCCTGGACCCGTGACCCCCCAGGGCCAACCGCGGATTCGACGGGCGGGTTTCGACGAACTGAAAAAATTGAACGACCGGGAAAGGACGGCGCAGTTGGTTTGAAACGGGCCCGGGTGGTCCTCGGTTGCGAGGATCAAAGTTTCGCTCGCCTCACAATCCTCCACCTCAGCCAACGTGGAGAGGATAGTCGAGTCAGAGGGCCCTTCAACAAAATCTTTACATAAGATGACTAAGCTGAGGCCTTGGTAGATAAACAAGGTCAGCACTGTGGCAGGACAGGATGCGAAAGACTAACCTTGCTTTGAAAGACAGACCTGCGGCCGCCTGCGGCCCGAGGCCCAGCTCTGTTTCTGCTCTCAAGACTCGAGACTCTCACGGGAGCTCTTTCGGGGCGGGAGATCGAAGGTACTGGTCAACCTGGTCCCTGAGGCCCGGAACCTCCATTGCTGAGCCGGCCATGGACAGCGGGTCGCGAGCCGCGGGGTGTTTCAAGTGTCAAGCTTTGGGTGGAAGCTGCAGAAGTGCTTTGAGTGAGTTCAGCTTCAAAAGCTTCAGGGCCACTCTGTCGGACCCTCTCTCTGCGAGGTTTATGCCAATGCAAGTCGTCTGATTCGCTCTTTGGAACTCACCCGGTCAATTCCTGGGACCCAAAAATTCACCCGAATTGGGGAATCGACTCGTGCACCGAGTCGAGGGATCTTGGAAAGGGAACATGACCGCGATAGTCTGAAGCATTTGATGCTGTGCAGGGCTTCTCGTTGGACCCACCACGAAACTCGCTTTCGGGGTTGCTCCGTGAACTTCTCAGTAAAGCCACACGTGCACAACCTTCCTCATCCTAGCAACCTTCCTCCTTTCACTGCAAGTGTTCTGAGAGCTTATCACAGCCTTCCACTGCCTTTCCCATCGATTCGCGACCTTTTTGACTTAGCTCGCTGGCTGCATCGGCTGCTTCTGGTGTCGCACAACTTTGGGGCCCGCCCTGCCATGTGCACAAGAATTGGATGGGATGGCCCTGTTAAAATCCATCCTTCCTGAGGTAGTCTTCCATCGAAAACCTACTGTAAGAATCGGTAGAAAGGACCGTGGAAAAGGCATCCGGACACCTAGTTCTACACTGGCATTGAAACTGATCACCCGTGACACCATGACTTGCACTTTTGACTTGCACTCCACCAAGCCGCTGGGCATCCTTTCAACTGCTCTTCTGTGGTGCCACCCATGTCATCCTCTTCAAAAATCGATGTCAATTGACCCCTCATTCCTTGGGCCCCGGCGCCACTTGCCTGGCGGGTGTTATCGAGCTGGCTTGCCCCGAGAAACATCGGCAACCCCATTGCTTCACCTGGCGCCCCTGATGCACTTGGCAGTGCCAGTCTTCTTTCTTCCAAAAAGAAGAATGAGGACACCCTCTTTGATTGGGAACGTGATCATTCTGGATATGACAGCTCTTGGCGAACTTGTAGCTACATAGTGTCGAAGTCGTTGATCCGTTGAGGCAACGACACTGTTGAACCGTTCCCGACCCTCGAATCCACCAAGCGTTCTTCACACGGCCAATATGGTGCATCCACTCGACTGTTCCTCTTCCCCTTGCCCCAGGCCCCTAGAACCTCCTATCACCTTCCTTCAACCCCGGATGCTTCCAAAACCTAGACGCTCTGCTCTTTTCATTCCGAACGTCTTCGTATCACCGCGCCACCACGTCCCTTCCTCGTCCCAGCGCCTTTGGCTCGTCACGTCCGCCTCCAAGTTGATCAACCGCCGGGCCTGAGACGAGGGGCTGACCGGTGCTCGACCGGTTCCGGTGAACACCTGATGGAACAAGCCATGATCCTCAGCCTCACATCCTATCTGGAGCCACACATATTTAAGCCTAGACCAGTTATACCCGTCTGTGATTTCGTGAGCTGTCGCACTTGATCCAGCTCAAGAAAAAGCATGCATATTGGTGTGTAAATGAAGGAGAATGGATGGACAGCAGTACAAAGGAATCACAAAAGAAGTGTGGCATCTTACCCCCCTGCAAGCAAGTCATATAAACCGGAAGTTCAGGGGTGCTTCAATTACACTAGGATGATAAACTCTGCACACCGTTCGTGTGGGATAGCTGCCTACAGTCGCTGAGTTCTTCCCCGTGCCTTTTGCTCGCCAGGGCCCCCAGCAGCCCCTGCCAGCGCAGCACGAAACTTCACATTCTCCTCCTGGCTAACGCAGTAGGAGCAAAGTGCGGGGTCGAAAGATCTAAAGCCGTCCCATTAGTGGCCGACTGGCAAAGAACTGTTATATAAATCATGGATGCCCATAGAAGGCTTCGGATAATCAAGGAGCGGAAAGCCAGGAATTCTGCGGCAGAAGTACACCTAAGTCATCCCAAGTCCTGTCTTGAATCGATTGAATCGGGCCCAAGTCACTGATGGAGGAGTTGGAAAGTTCCTGAATACGACTTGATTTATATAAATGCGACAGCATGGGGCAGGGTGGGGCTCCTCATGTTGAGACTCAGGCATGTCACATTGATCGTCAATCAAGGATGGTTGTTGCTATAGTGTTCCATTGTTGCTAGACAATGTGGAGTGCTGGGGCTGCTAGGCTTGAGGGTGTGGTCATTTTTTCCAAAAAAGCTTGGGCTGCTAGGGCACGTTTGCCCAAGCTGATCCCTCCGAAAACCCTGGCGCTTGGGGATCTCCATCCAAGTGACTGAGGATCCCCTTGTCGCTCGGTCCTCCAGTGCTTGGACACGAGTCTCAGCGCCGGCACTGTGGCCCTGGTGTTTTTTCACCGGGGCTTAGGCGGTTAGGCTGTGGTGCAAAAGGTCGACTGTTGGAGGTACTGGAAGAAGGATAAAATCAGTTGAAGACATGGGAGAGCTTCTGACTGTTGGTCCGGGGAAAGCTTTCTCTTGATTGATCTTGATTTCTGTGTGAATCACCTGCGCCTTGTCCTAAACTGGCTGGCATCATGCACCCTACCGGGGTACTACTGGGAGAGTCCAGCAACTTATGCTTGCTCTCCAATTTTCTTTTTCTCTGCATCTGCCTTGGGAAGGATATTTTGGGCTTTGATCGACTCACTTCAGTGTGAAGAGCAACTTCTCGCTGAGCCTTCTCAAGAGCATCTAGCCGCTGGGCGGTCTGATCGTTCACCTGTGCCTCGCATTCGAGTTCCGCCCAGCAATCAAGGGATCTACCCCCATCACCAAGGGTCATCGCTGGCAGAAACTGGTTGCTTTCTTCCGTGATCTTCATGGCCCTTCATTTTGTTGCCAGGTTCCTGCTCCCAAATCAAGTTATCAAGGGTTGGTTCTCACCCAAATCACATCTGGCTAGTCCAACTGTCGGTGAACATACGCAATATCCATGTTGAGAAGGGGTTCTATCATGAGGCTCCATTTGGAAATTAGGTTCATTGAGGCTGTTGAGGCTGAGAAATTTCTCCTCCTTCGTGGTTTGCGCATCTAGGCCACGTCACACCTCACTGCTGGACCCTTCGCCTCATGCTGCATCTCCTTCTTCAGTTCGAGGTTCTCCTTCATGACCTCGCAGGAAAGGACTTGCCAGACAGTCTGCAGCGGTGCCCGCGGAAGGGGTTTCCAGCTTCGGGTTCGAACTCCAGTGATCGGGAAGGTGTGACGTTTTGGCCATGTTTTCACACTTGAGCTGCATGCTCCACATCCTGAAACAAACATGCGTCCCCAAAAAAGATGGTAAAAGGGGGGTTCTGGGGAGGGTTTGTTGGTGTGTTGCTTGTTATGATTTTTTGTTGATGTTCAATGTGTTTTCCTTGCTGTTGATGTTTTATGTGTGGGGGGTTCTGGGGTTTTTGGGGTTCTAACTTTTCTGGGGCAAATGGTTTTAACATGAGGTGGATGATTGTTGTTGCTGTGTTTTATTTCTAGGTCTGGGTTTATGGGTTGTAACTATGCTGTGGTTATGTTAGGTTGTAAAGTTTTATGGGTTGTTATGGTGTGGTTATGGTGTTTTTTAGTTTTCAGGTGTTTGCTCATATCTGCCGTTCTTATCACTGAACCACATTCACATTCAATCTGTTCTTTTTTCACTTAACTCATCTTTGTTGTTGATATATAGTTCTCTTCTCCTATCATCCACTTTGTCTTTGTTTTCATTGTATTGTTCTCGTCGGTTTTCATTGATTTCAGTTTGGTGTTTGTAATAACTTTTTCTTGCTTGTTCATTGACCTTTTCATTAAATAGTTGTCTATTTAATTTTGTTTTTTTCAGCACAGTATTCCTTGTTGTTTTCATACCATTCTTTCCACTTCTCACTTATTTTTTCTCCGTTGTCTTCTTGGTATTCTTTACGTGTTCTTCCCTCAACCTTCTTATTAAGACAGTCAGTATTCTTGATGTAGTGTCCTTCTTGTTTTTGAAGCATTGCTTTACTTTCAGCAGGGTAGTTTTCAATCAGTGCACATCAAACATAAAAACACCATTTGTATGCTTCTTTCCTGTTTTCAAATAATACTTATACTTTTCCCTATGCCTTGCCATTCTTTGACATAAACATTCGCAAGTGCTTCCAATATAACACTTGTTGTATCCAATGTCAGTGATTTTATAAATTTTACCGTGTTCATACCTATTCATCCTTATTTATCCTGTGTATTTATTGTTTAAACGGTTTTTTCCTAAAAGTATAATATGGCAAGACGATTAAGAAAATATGATATTATAAGTAATGTTTATTATGATGTCAATGAAGGTCTCGGGTCTGTTAAGTAAACACTTAAGAAAGCAAAAGAGAAAGACCCATCAATCAATACAGTAGATGTAAAACAATTTATGGCAAAACAACCGAACAAACAGATTGGAAAGTATAGAGGGTATAATTCCTACACTGCTCCGTTTGCCCGATTCGAATACCAAATGGATATAATGGACATGGTGCCTTTAACCAAAGAACCTGAAGGAAAAATCCACTCAAAAATGATGAACCAAGGTATGCATTAGTTGTCATTGATATTTTCAATAAATTCGGGAATGCCGTTCCAATGAGAAACAAAGATGGGGTGAGTGTATTGAAAGCATTGAAAGAGACTTTTAAGAAGATGGATTACTGTATGTCAATATATAGCGATGATGACGGAGCATTCCAGACGGTAGTGCCAAAGTTTTTACGGATGAAGGCATCAATCACATCATCACAAGGACACACGCCAACGTTGTAGAGCGTTTCATCAGAACACTGAAAAATATGATACACGATAGGGTTAGATTTAACAAGGCGGGATGGACGAGTATGCTTCCACCCGTCTTGAAGAAATACAACAGTAGCAAACACTCATCAACCAAACTAACACCCAACGAAGCACACGACGACAAGAACAACATGGATGTTAAAGTAAATCTGACAAGAAGAGAAAAGAACACAAGGAAATATGAGGAGATATATGAGAATGACACCGTCAAAATCTTCACGAAGGGAAGAGGCAACTACACCGACAGGAAGGAATACAACAGCAAATGGTCAAAGGAAAACTACAAGGTTCAGAAGATAGAATACGACAGCACGGGCAACAGAAGCTTCAAACTGGAAGGATTGACTAAACCATTCCTTAGGCACGAAATCCTAAAGGTTTGATAGGATGTCATAAATCAACTCATCAGGTATTCTGTATAGTTCATCTTGTGTCTTCTTTCTTTGTTCGTTCCACAAACCTTTACACGGTAGTCTTTGTGCCGTTTCTTTGTGTCTGTTCCCTACGATGCTATTACAATCCTTTTTACATAAAGGTCTTGATTTCCAGTTTTGTAGGTTGGTCGCTTCGCGAGGGAGGATATTTCCCTGTTGGTCATATCCTCCCATCCATATAGTCGTCCGCTTCCTATATTCAAAACCATACTTACAATAATCTACATCGTAATAATCAAAATCGTTCATCAAGTCCTGGTCTTTCAAAAGTCCCGTCGGTGGATTTTCTATGAAAAATATTGTAGGTTGAGAGTAGTTAGTGATTTCAACAGTTTTCCTTACAATACTATTCGCATAATCTATCTTTCTAACACCCATAGTTTTTGCTCTACTATATTCGTGCAAGGAGGGGATGCCCATATAACATCAAAATCTTTGTCCAATTCTTTGTAGTCCCATTGTACTATATCTTCATTAATGTGTGCGTTATTCAAATCTAACGATATGACACTAAAACTGAATTCACGGGCAACTTTACCAACACTACCTGTTCCGCTAAACAACTCCAATAGTTTCATATTAAAACTTTATAATTTTGCGAAGCGAAACGCTTGTTTCACGATTTGGGCCCGAAGTGCGTCAGATGTACACTTCTCGATTTGTGCCTATGCAAGGCTGGCTGACCGATCTAAATGGTCAAACACCGTGCCTCCAGCCATGCATACTTGGCACAACTGCACTTCATACGCCTTTGCGTAATGGGGGCAGCGTTCGCAAAAGTGGATCGCTTTGCCCCTTGGATTCATCCTGTACTGGGTGGTTTGCCTTAGCAACCGCAGCCCATAGGCTTCAGAAATCTCAAGCTCTTTGAAGGCTTGATCCCTTTGTCGGCGCATCTCGCTGATGCCAACCTCCAATTCCTCGATGTAGTCATCTTTCTTTTGCAGCTCACTCTGCAGCTTCTCCTCGTTTTCTTCATATGCTTTCATGTAGGTCTGCAAGCCCTCCGTCTCATAGGCTTGGCTGCCTATCTCCTTCATTTCAGGCTTTTCCTTTTCAGCCTGGGTCCCGAGCATGTTGTTCAGGTACTGCACGATGTAGCACCTTCAATGATGTTGCGCCGCAACCATCCTGCAATGCTCCAGGCCCCACACACGGCGCATGCCGTGAAGACTGTCCAACTCCAATCATAGCCTTTTGCTTCTTCTTCTGTGGGTTCTCCTGCCACTTCACCAAGTCTCGACAGGATCATCAACATCCCCACATGCATGTCTTTGACCTTCATGATCTTCTTGGTAGCCTTTCGCATCCTCTCCTTGTACTCCAAGTCCATGAACTCCTGTTTGCCAATCCTCTCGCCAAGGCTGTTGATCATCTTCATCATGAACAGCAGTCCATAGAGTCGGCTCCTTGTCAGGTTCTTCGTCCCAACATCAGCACAGTTGAGCTCAGTGCCAATTGCTGCCACGCTGAAGATCTTGTCCTTTTCCTTCTGTTGAACCCATAGCAGTGCTGCATCAAGATGTCGAACTCTTCCAATACCTTGGCGTTGCACCATTGCCCTGGCCGCTGAGCTGTCAGATCGGATCTTCATGTCACAGGGCTCTCCGATCATGGCTGTCCATAGGTGTCGGATCAAGAGTCCATCCGAGCACCCTGCCACGATGGCCACAAACTCAGATTCTCCTGAGGATAGGGCTATGGCTTTCTGTGAGCGCACCCTGGGTTCCATCAAGTTCCCATCGATGAAGATCTGGAACGATGTGGTGCTGCGTCGGTCGTTCTTGTTGCCGGCATAGTCGGCATCTGTCACAACTTCTATCAGGTGCTTCTCCTTCTCATCCACCTCCTCTTCATCTCTCACATCCATGACCGACTGCCCTTTCTTCCTCAGGCCGATCCTCACACCGAAGCCCATCGTTCCTTGCAAATAGGAACATACGTGCCAGGCGTTCTTCCATGCCTGCTGTGTGGGCTTTGCCATGCTCCTTGCCAGAATTGGGCGTCCGGCCTCTCTCCAGCCAGATACATCAGCCTCCCAACCACGCTGCGATACCTTGTTATCTCCTCTCCTTTCAGCAGCTGACTCTCGTCCTTCTTGGCGATGTTCTGGTCCATGGGAGTCTTTCTGTAGGCCTTCTTGAACACGTCTGTGTCCTTGGCGAGGCTTTCGTACTGTTTGTAATCGCACCGGACGTCACATCCTTCTGTTCCGGGCCAAAACTCCCTCTTCAGGTAGTGGAATTTCTCGTTCATGCCAAATGGCCCTTTGACCTCGATGTTCCATCCCTTTCTCTTGTGCATGTACTCCACGAAGTTCCTCAGCATCATCTCGTTGCCCACCATGAAGATGTCGTCAACATGCACCGCGATGTACATTTCTTTCTTCATCATCAACAAGGTAGGCTGCATTGGGTCCTGCTCTAGTCCGAATTTCTTTGCAGCTCCCACGAAGAGTTGGAACCACTGTGATGCTGCAGTCCTCTGACCCGGTAGGCACTTGATGAGCATCCAGCTCCACGAAGGCTCGCTCCTCTCCGCCATCAGGAACGCGTCCTTGATGTCCAGGGTCATCGCCCTGAAATGCTTGAAGACATTTAGCATCAAATGGATGAGCATCTTGGGCAAGACCATGATTGACGTGGGGGCAAACGTTTGGTCAAGATCAACACTGCCCTTAAACTGCCTTGCAACAAGGCGTGCTCTTCGAAACCAACCCCCTTGCTCCAGACGATGCTTCCAGGTGATCACGAACTTGGTGGAGATCGTGTACCCTTCACTCTCCTGCACCTCATCCTTGTTTGACTCCCGCATGGCTGGCATTTTGAGCATCCTCTCTACCTCATTCTTCTTTGCTTGTTCGTCCAGCAGGTTTAGGTGCTCTTC